ATCGATCTTTTAAACGATTTAAATCATGTAATACTAGCATGTATTTTTTTATTTATTTTTTTTTCGGATGGACGATTCTACCGAATGCACTCAAGAAATTATTTGCGCAAAAGGTATCTTTAGTTTGACGAGGATGTGTGTCTGACTATTCGCGTACTCCAGCTACGCGTTGGTCGAACAAAATACCGTAATCGTTCTTTTCGATTTGATTATATTTTACAAATCACAACCTTGTACTATTTCCAGAATGACTTTATTGTATTTGACGCAGGAACATTCTAAATGCTTTGGCTCATCGGCACAAATACACTGAATTGTCACTTGACAGTACGTTTTACAAACAAGCAATTTGGAACGCTATGCATATTAATTACAAACAAATGTAAGGAAAAGATAAGAATAAAAGGGCATCGCACAAATAAACAAAAAATCGCTCCCACAATAAGGCAAACAACAATAGGTTGGGAGGATAAGGATGCACAGTTGGCAGTGGCAGCACTGCATCAAACTAGAGCATGGCACAAGCATCAGGCCACGCGGGAAATGAAGGCGAAGCGCTGAGAGAGAAAGAGAGAGAGAGAAAGAGTAGCTTTGAATTTGCATCTGAATCCGGGACTGTACAAAGTATAAGGCCAAGCCTAGTGGCGGAGTTAATTAAACGTCTTGGATTTTCGGGATGCAAGCACAATCTGTCTACTACTGCTACTCCTGCGGCTGGCGTCGAGTGGACTCGTCGTCTGAAAGAAAGAGAGAGAGAGAGAGAGAGAGAGAGAACAAGACCGAATCAATTATTAACCTTCTGACAAGCGCTTTCAATGGAATTGAACGCTACCACGAGTTTCTCTCTCTCTCTTTCTAAACCGTTAAATCGACTGACGAGATAATGAAAAGACACTTTTACATGTGTGTGCTGTAAGCGTTGTTTATTTGTGATTTCGTGTTAGCCAAACGTTTATGTATTATGGCATTTAAATACGTTTATATTCCAAATAAAAGTGGGAAAATAGTTTTATAATTTTAGCAATTATATGAGGTTGCCACTAAAATTTTCAACAGGTTAAACGTCAATCAAACAAACTAACAGAAAAAGAAATCCACAGTAATACTCACGTTTAAAAAATATCGCGTGTTCGACTTGCGACTGCGTACCGTGGTACTGTCGTACTAGTTTTAGGTCAGCCGGCAGCAATAGTTCGATTTTTTCCTCCGACTCTGATGCAACATACATATACACGTATGTGCAAACTGAATGCACGGGTCAACATACGACATTTATATTGCCCCGAGAAAAAAAACAGGAGGGGAGAGTGAAAGAAAAAAAAGCTGACCCGATGCGTCTAATAGTCCACGTGCCGAATAATGGAGGAAGCGAGTCATCGGGCTATCGCGATCCGACCGATCAACCGATAGACGCGCCGTATTGTGTATGAATGCGTGCGAACCGTTTTCATCGGTTTTCTACCAAGTCACGTAATCTTGGGGGAAGGCCATGTGTCATTGTGACACTTTATAAGGATGCATTATAAGCTTTTTTGGCTTTGTGAGGGAAACAGGGAGTGTCTTAAGTGAACTGTTATCCCGATATACTCTCACGTTAAGTCTTACGATTGTCGGGTTGCAGTGTCGTATTTAAACCTATGATTTTTGGAAAAATATTAACTACGTTTTTATTTTGTCATCAATACGTATATGGTTCAACAGACTCGATGAAAAACGCTTTGTTTGTTTAGTGTGTAAAAACGTCGATCGTTTGTAGAAATTGTCACTTGAAGCTTGGTTTCATACATCAAATCAAGTATAAGATCTGGTTATCGTAAGAAAAAGAATAAACCGTAATTATAGACAAATGGCAGTTCGACGGTATTTCTTCTACGCAAATGCAAATGATCATAATTGGCAGCTACAGTATCAATAAAACTGTCATCTAAAGAAAGTTATCGAGAGGCAATGGAATTTCAAATTTAAGTAAAGTAAATGGCGCATTATAAGTCGATATCTTATTGCGCGCTCATAACAATCCACTCTGATGCAATTCAAGTTTTCATTTCAGCGCAATATACACCGTCATATATCTCGGGAATAGACGCTGGAAAAGAAGAAATTAAAAAGTACCCATCGTCGATGGAATTTCGCCGGAGCAAACTTGCCGCCAGTAGATATTTCGAGCGTAAAGAAGAGGAAAAGGATGAAGCCACGAGGCGAGACAAGTATATATCGAGCAATTCGCGAGTAAACTGATCAGAGGAGAGGAGCGCTCTATTTGCAATTGAAAGATTCGCCGGGCGCGCGGCTCGATGTATAAGTATATACATATATATATACACACACAGCGGCGGATAAAAATCAGGCTTGCTATCGGCAGAGGGAAAGGAAAAAATTACTAAATCCTATCGGGGTTTGATATCGCGCGAGTGCGCTCGAGCCGCCGCCTCGAGGGGAAACCGAGACGGTCAAACAATGAGCGCTCGAACGGTCGTCAATGGGAGAAAGAGAGGATGCCGGGTTTATATAGCTCGCTGCTGCGCACTGCGAAAAATGGCTCAACAGAGACGGATCATCCGATGGACGGGTTCATTTCTAGGATTGCGCGCTTGGCGTATAACGTTTCCTTGCTCGCTCGCTATTATTTGGCATTACCTAAATTTCGCTAATCATTCGGTAATTGAAGATTATTGCTCTTCGGATTGGCTGCTGAATGCACGCTCTGCTCTCTACGCGCTTGATCGATAATGACGATGAAATTATTAGGCTAGAGAGAGCGCGCATCCTCGAAAAGCGCTTCGCAAAAGCGCATCGCTCGTCGCACTAATAGTTGACGAACTTGTTTCAGTTGCTTATATTTCGTCCACTATTTCTCCAAACGAACGGGTGGTGCGTAAAAAGCAACCTCGCCAATATTCGGCGAAAAGGTTCGGCCACAAGGAAAATTAAACGCCTCATAATCGAGAGTACTAATATAAGCTGAGAGACAGCGAGGAAATCTCCGCTGGCTTATCCCCGACAATACGTAAGCCGCGAGTGCGCGCGCTCGCGTTTGACTGACGGGGGTAGGCACGACAGTATATAAGCATTCTCACTCGATAGAAGAGTGAAGCAAAGCTTTCAAATCACGATCCCTCGAGCGGCGCACGTTCTTTCTTTAACGCTGGCTCCTTTTCTTTTCGAGCTAAGCGCCGCGCGCATAATGTGATAAGCCGACCAACGCCACCAATCCCCAAACTCCCTATGCGCCGCTGGAACCATAGGCTAAGCCGCGCGCAACTCTGCCAATGATGTATGTTTCGAGCGCTTTGTCATGCTCAAACGACCTCGTTGTACGGCACTCGCGGGGTAATCATCTGGCACTGCTTACTACTTTTCTTTCATGTATACTTCTGTGTTCGACTCTGTAAGACTGCAAAAATAAAAATTCTATCTATACGGGAATAATATTTTACTTCACAAATTTTTTCGAACGATAACTATGCAAGTGTTAGTAAAATACAGTATTTCAGAATTATTTTTTCATTCAGAATAGTTTATTTCTTAACTGAATACATTCTCATTCGAAAAATTTAATTTCAATTTAAAAAATAACTATTTCATTTAAGAAATAATTTATTTAAGTTAATGTTAATAATATAACCAATTTAAAGTTATTATTTTTTAGTACAAGTAATTATGGAATACATTTACAAATTTTTCAACAATTTGTAATGTAATACCTCTGATTTGTGAGCCCTTCATCGATCGGCATACTTGCAATAAAAAATCACATGACACGATAGAACCTCTCAGCAAAACTTATTCATCAGTCGAGAAATAAAAGAAATATTCGGATTCAATTGCCACAGTACAACACAGTCTATACGACAGAGGACGTTGGTTGTCCACTGCGAAAAAAAGACGTATCGCTTCGTAACGTTCGTGTGCGGCATCGTTCGACAAAAGCTCGTTGGAAAAAGAGCGGACGACGATGCCATCAAGTGCCGATCGACGGGGCGGCGGCGAGTAAGCGAGTGAGCGAACGAGCGAGAGAGAGATGAAGTCGATCATCGAGGGGGGAATAAAAGGCGACGGACAGCGCGTTTTGCGGTGACAGAGCGTGTCTGATGGAGGGTTGTCGCCCCCCCCCCCCCCACTACCCCCATCCGCCGTTCTCAACGATGTATATATATATTAAAGCTCTTCTAATATGAGACCTAAAAGAGTAGTGGCAGTAGTAGTAGTAGAGCTCTTCTCGACGTTTATGATCCACCCTCCGCGAGGCTAGATTTTTGCGCGCGACGCGCTTCGACGCTCGCTCTCTCTCTGTCTCTCTCACTTGGCGAGTGCCCTGTCGAGTGGAACTATACAGATTTTTTGTACACTCGTTCGAATATTACGATGTTTGATAAAAATACGAACGTTCGTTGATACAACAATTCGTTTTTATCGGAAAATATTGGTGAAATTTTGTTTATTAACTTGGAAGGTACCGTCACTCGTTACGCCCATCAAGGTGGCGACAGTTGTAATGGCAAAGTTAAAGGTAACAAATTGATGATTAACTAACACAAAAGCGACAATAACAGAGATGTAGGCTGTGTATTTTTCCCCACACTAGAGCGGAAGTGCAGAGGGTTAAAGTTGATTAGAGAGCCGTAGATGGGAGAGGCGCTCGTAAAAGGCATAAAAATTAGAATAAAGCCGAGCGGTGCACGAAAATGAAATGACATTAGCACAAAAGAGGCAACGGGGCGCAGTTACGAAGTGGAAATTGGCGCTTTATCCTCGGCGGCGGCTTTCGCTTTCTTGCGCGCGCTTCGGCTTCCGTATCCATCTGACACGCGCCATTGACCACGAATGCGCGTCCGATAGGGGTGCGCGGACTGCCTTCTCCTAAAAAATCAAGTTATCTGCGGACGCCTCCCTGCACACCCCTCACCCTACGGACTATGCGTCTGAGAAATAGCAGCACGCACTTTTCTCACCAAAGCTTTCTTTATTTGATTGCTTTCTCGCACATTTAGGATACTCACGGTGAATCTTCGACACCACACGCTTAGTGATTTGATGTCGCGGATTTTCACGTTGGATGGTAGTCTCAGAATGATGTCGGCGTTGTGGATTCGGCCCAGTGGCTTCGGATCTCTGCAACAAAATGCAACATGCCGATCGTTGAGATATCTACGAGAAATTTGAGTGCTGCGCGGTGAAAGACACGCAAGCTTCCGTTCGCAAGCGCGTTGGAATGATAAGCCCAAGGATTTATCATTTCGGACGAAAAGTGCTGCCATAAACTGTAGCACGCGGGTAGAATGAAATCGCCATAGTTGTCAGAATGCTCTGGTTGAAATTGATGTAGGTGTCAAATTAATCGGTTTTATTGGCGCCTTATGCGGAGCAGGCCGAGAGAACCCCTTGGGCGCCGGAGAAAGATAGAGGAGGCAAAACCGTGGCAAGCGAGTCGCGAAATCGAAGTCAAAAGGGCAGTTTCCTTGCGCAACGACTGCGCTTTTAGGAGCGAGAGCCCCTTGGAAATTTATGCACCGCGCGCGCACGTACGTTCGCTGCGCGAGCGCGCGAAGTGGAACGAGGAGGAAAGAAGTGGATATGAGGGATAAGCTGATGGGAAAGGCTGCCGTGCGCAGTTATAAATAACGCGCGCCAGCGCGTGACGTTTGCAGGCAACAGCAGCATCTCTCAAAGGCAACGCGCGCGTACACAGTTAATAAAGCCAGAATTATGAACTAGTCAGCGATTTTGGCTTTCCGAGCGAGGGGTAGCAGAAGGATTAGAGCCTTTGTCCGGTTGAAGCTTTTGCGTGTTGTAGTAACCGAGGATAAAAGGACTCTTCGGTTGCATCCTCTTTCTCTCTAATATCGATTTAATTAATCAATTCTCGTCGGTATTCTCCCTCTGCCCGCGCGTTACATGCCATTGTCACTTTTACAAGAAGCACGTCGCACAGCCATCATTTTATTCGGCCTTTTGTCCTGTATTATATCGTGGCCTTTATTGAAGGCCATACTGCATTGGATTCCGCACGAGGTTGATCTTCAAGCTCTTACTCCACAATATATTATTGAGATACCATTCTCCGATTCTTATCCCCGTTAAAGAATATTGTATCTTCGCTGTTAAACTATACGTCTAACTTCTGTTTCTTCCTGAGCGTTATATTATGAGATTTTATAGCAAATGAAAATCCGAAGATTATGTACGAAATTCATATTTTGTAAATGCTAGAGTGCTTCTAAGAAATATAAAAGCAAGTGTAATAATCATACCTGGTCTCCTTTTCAGGATAAGGAACGAGCATGCCACTGGGAGCCGGAGTAACCGAGTCGGTGACCCAGAAGTAGGCCGTTGGTGCCGTGCCATCGTAAGTGAAATTTTTTATGAAGAAGGTCGACTCGTCGATCACGTACACCTGACCCCTCACCCCGTGATTGTAGGAATTGAAACTCCCGACGAACGAGCCGTAAGTGTTGGGTCCTTTTCTTGCTGCGACGGCTGCAATACAAACATTGTTTTCATTAGCGATGTCGCATTATCCGATGCGGTTTCCAATCGCCGATGCAATCATTTCAAGCAAGTATCCGCCTGCATCACTTTCCAGATTAAAAATTTAATTTTACGAGGAAGCCGATGCTCCGCGCGGATCGTCGCTTGTGGCAAACGAAAAATTGAGGCATCAGTGCGGGTGCATTAATCGAAAATGACAGGGCACTGTATAGCACACAGGTTTTTTAATCATCGTCAAATATCGCGAATTAATGTATGCAGAGTACGCAGAGCGTTCATGGAAGGGGGAGCTTGATCGATAGTCCGATGAGCAAGAAAGAGAGAGCGAGAGCGGAGAATATTTGCAGGTCGCGCGCGCAACGAAGAGCAACTGCGTGCGCAAACGACGGACAGTTGATAGAAAAGATAGATCGGGCTCTAATCCTCGCGTGCTACTTTCCAGCCTTCTATTTCTGGCTCTCCTGCGCAACATATTGTTTATTTTGACATTCTGTATTTGCTCGGCAAACCGTCTCCGCCGGAATTGGAAATATACTCGCTGCGGAGTTTAATTTGCTTTTTCTCGACGACTTTCCTTTTCAATTCGCTCCAGACTCTTCTCTCTCTCTCTCTCTCTCTCTCTCTCTCTCTCTCTCTCTCTCTCTCTCTCTCTCTCTCTTCTCAGCCAATACCTTAACATTCGCGTCTGCCACTTTATTCGACTCTCGACCTTTATAGCTCTGTCGAGCAAATGAAATGAAATTCATGCAAATCAAAGCTCCTCCCTTTTCTCCCCTTTCCCTTTTGCTCTTCCAGCGTCTATACGCATCTCTATCTCACTCGCGCACTCTTCGCCGCTTCTCTTGCGTATCCGCGGCGAAACATTGTTTAATTACGGCTTGAAGTTGGCGATAACAACGAGTGCGAAGGCACTATGACGAACGGCAACAAACAAGCTACGCTAGTTTACACAAAATAAAAAAAAATCACGGCGCAGCGTAAAGGGATGCACGCGTAAGTATACGCGGGCAGCCAAAGTGGAAAAAAAAATTCACGAAGCCAAAGGAGAGAGAAACAATGCAAAAAGAGCGAGCGCTGCAGATTTTTTTAAAAGCAGCATACGCACATGCATATGCGCCATGCCCATTTTCTTCAACCCCGACAGAGAGAGAGAGAGAGAGAGAGAGAGAGAGAGAGAGAGAGTCCGCAAAGCAACCCCCGCGCTGGTGCCGCCGGCACTATACTCTTTTGTTCTTCCGACGCTGCGCGTCCTCTCTCGCGCGTCTGCCTAAAGCAGATAGGGATATTTAAATGTAGCCCTGGATTAAGGGATCTCGATACCATCAGTCCAATTGATTTCCCTGCGAGCCGGCAATTATTTCTATTGCCAGACACGCAGATTAAATGGCGCGCTGTGATTCGATCGCACATATTCACGCCGAACGTTGATTAAGCAAAGTCTTGGTGATTTAATGGCGCGGCGCCTCGGCGTAAATAAATAACATTTGGCGGCGATGGGAAAAAAGAGCGACGGATTTCGACGGCAGAAGCGCGCGGTAAAAAGGAAAAGGGCACGAGCGCGAAAACGAAGGCTAATGACGAGCGCGAGGGATAAGACTGAAGCGATAAAGATGGCAAAGGACGATAGCGGGCGATCTCGGGCACGCGGAGCTCGGCGCTACGTATAAAAGCGAGCTGTTTAGCGACGACGGCGAGGACGAGGGGAGGCGCGGGCCCGAAGAAAGGGTGCGAAGGCATTAGGCGCGAGCGAGCGACGACAATGATCGCACTAAACTGGCCGTGACTCCGCTTTTATCGGGGCTGCAGTCGGCACGCTAATGGATTCGTAATCGCTCGCTCGCTCTTGCTCGCGCTACGTGTCTCTTTGCCGTGTACTCGGCTTTTGACCGATGTCAAAGCGCCAATGAGCTTTTGCGTTCGATTAATGCGCCTGCCCTCCCTGCTCGCGAGTCGAGGATCTGATTGTTTCGTTCGCTGGCTGGACGATTATTACATGGGAGCGAAAATGTTCGTTGCACCCCCCCCCCCCCCTCGAACGAGTCTTCTCACAAAGCTTTAGCTTGTTTGCGCGATCGAAAATTCGCAATTTCACGATGGGCATTCGCGGAAGCTAAAATTACGCGCTGGGATATAACTTGAATATAGTACTTTTTAGCAAATATTACGAAATGGAATGTAAAGAGAAATGTTACCTTTTTTCCAAGAACTCTAGATGCAGACTATCGAAGAATCAAAGCTCCGAAGCTTTTAAGCTTAGTTCGCTCGCGGAAATGTTTTTATCGACTTTTAAATGAACAACGCTCTGCATTCTATTTCATTTTCATTTTCTTCTAAGTTGAACGTTACTGTTACATACGTTTCATATATGCAAATAACTCGTATTTTCGAGTACTATTTATAAATATATGCAATTATTCCACAAATTTTATCGAATCTTTTCTTATAGGTATTTAAATACTATTACCGGAAAATTTTCCAATAACAGATAGGATCTCTTATCTAATTGTAAGACTATAAAAAATAGAGTATCACTTTAGAAGTTTTTTTTATTATTTATAGTTTAATTGATGAATCCAAATAAATATTAAATAGTTGAGAGTGTTGTGAACAAATGAATGATATTCACGAAATTGGCTTGAAGCAATAGTTGTTAAATGTAACAAAGTGATTGATACATTCAAACAAAAGTGTTTGGAAGAAATGAAACGAAGTAAAAAAGTGTTTGTAATTAATAATAATGCAGTTATTCACGTTTATTAAAAGTGGCAATAGTGATTGCATCGAAATTGAGTTTGGAAGACTTAAATTTTAAGCACGCAATGATAAACATCAGTTTCGTTCATTCGTCCAGCAATTAATCATGGCGAGGATGTGAAAAGACGAGCAGTCATTGAAAGGATCGCGAAATCGTGAAATCAGCGCAGCGCCGTTGTAAAGAAGTAATTCCAATATCGCTGTCGGCAGTCCCAAGGCGCACTAACATATACACTGCGGTCGCGGAATTGAAAGAGAGCTGGCGCACACGGGCGACACACGATGATGAGTTCGGGATATAACGAGAGAGCCTAATACCCGCATACACGACTGATCCGGTGTCGGGGGCGCGGGGGATGCTTTTCAAATTTTTTACAATGCCCATTCCAAGCGACGAGCTTACGTTACCGTTTTTTGTCTGCCGCGCGTGCTGCATCATTTCATTAGCCGAAGCTGTCGCCCATTATTCCGCCTTACCCTTCCCATTAATCTCGCGCCGTTCTTCTTCGAGAGCGCAATGGCGCGGAACGCGGCCGCGCCATCGTCGTTAGTGACTTTCATTTGAACACGATTGTGCATCTCGAAGATTCGCTTTCTCTCTCTTGCGACGCGACTATAACCGTCGTTCGCGGTGAAAAACATTGCGCGCGAATCGTCAATGTCCATCGAGCGTCAATGGGCGCACGAGTGTCGCGCCCGGCAAATCACGAAAGTTACGATTCCAATGTTGAGGAGCAGAGTCTCGATGGCCATTGGCAAACAGAAAGCGTGCGCAATATGTCGTGCACATCGTCTCTCTCTCTCTCTCTCTCTCTCTCTCTCTCTCTCTCTCTCTCTCTGGAGGGTTTGGTTGCTGTCTGTGTGTTTGCTCGGCTCAAATGTTGACCGGCTTCCACCGTGAGCGCTCCGACCGGAGAGACTCTCCCCCGTGACAGTTTCGAGGAGTTACACAGTTGAGCTTGCAGAAAAAAGGTTTTCCCCGAGATGCCGCCCTCTCTGTACTGCTTTCCTTTTTCTCGCTTTGTATCCTCTACTTTATATCGTATGCACCTATAGATACGCTTTATTTATCTCTCTCTCTCTCTCTCTCTCTCTCTCTCTCTCTCTCTCTCTCGCTGTATTATATTCTCGCTTGCTTTTTGCATTGACTGCGGCTCTCCACGTGCTCGTCCAAATACTTGCTCTTGAATTTTATCGTGGGCAAACGTTTGGTATTTAGCAGAGCAGTGGAGCTGACATCGCGCGTCGCGCGAGTTTCGACGGCAAGCATTTAGTCGAGCTCGGGGTGGGGCAAAACCTGCAAAGCGCAGGATATTCCGCAAAACGAAAAGCCCATTACTCTTGATAAGGGGATGAATGCATAACAAGTGCGCGCATTGTCTATGCTTTGTCACGCACTCGAGATACGAGACAGAAGCACTGCCACGCCGCCGAGTCATATTAACAGTCTGGCGTTTGCCTCTATTCTCAAAGTAGATGGATTAGCGAAAGTACGCGTTCGTTCTCCAAGTGTAGACACGGAACATTGTGCTTGCGGAGTGTCGCAATGTTGCCGCGCACAATACGACGCATTACGTTTATTTTTCCGATGACATTGTTGGAAACAAATTCTTTCGAATTACGTAATACCGCTATTGTATTTACGTTGTTTATTTAACAATTGTAATCGCCCAACTACTAATACGATTAGACGTTATTTTTCTTCGCACAACACATCGCAAAATTTTTATTGCAATTATTCCAATAAAGTTACAGATATCTGATGTTTGTTATCGCTAGTGTAGACAATATTCATGTAGATATGAATTTGCACTAGTCACGTGCGAGCAGGCCATACTCATCGAGAGAGAGAGAGAGAGAGGCAACGTTTGCTCATGCTAATAAGTCTGAGCAAGTTAGCAGGCGCGCATCGCAGGCCGCCGCGAGTGAAGAAGGCTACGCAGGACGACGACGAAAACGGGAAGGGAAGAGAAGGAAAGGTAGCAGTGATTTTAATCAAGATATGGCCCGACAGAAACTATTGATTTCTTTTTCTCTGAGCAAGTGCTTGTGACCAAGTAGCCTCTCGTTGCGCAATTTCGAAAGCGAAGAGAAGAGGCTGACAGGCAGCCAGGAGGCTTAATCTTTTCTTTATAGACTCACTCTCTCTCTCTATCTCTCTCTCTCCCTCGACCGAGGCAGAGATTTTCATCTAAGAGGATCGAGCTCAGGTTCGCTGCCCGCTACGCTCGCCCGCTCCTCCCGTATATTTCATTGGGACAACAAATACTTACTCGCGAGCGAGCGTCAGCTCCGGCACGAGACAATGCGCTTTCATTACTTCGCCGCGCGGCAAAATAATGAGGTCCAGGATTATTTTGTTTAAAAGGCTCGCAGCTTCTCTCTTTTGCCTATACTTCTTTCCCCCTTCCCGCCCATCTCCCTAGCCGATACTTCTTTTTTTTTTTTCTTCTCATGGAAAGCTTTTTGACTTACGCGAGTTCACTTGTCCTTTTTTCTCGAGTAACGCTTTTTAATTACTCACCTGGCACAAAAACGACAATGAAATCTTAATTTATATAGCACTTTTGCGAATTATTCACGAATGCACAAATGTTACGTAATTAAGAGTATCGTCGAGATTGATTAGAGCTTGAAGTAGAGCACATTCGAAATTTATTATCGTGAGCGTTTGCATCTAGACACTCATGACATTGCAGGTAATGCAATAACACATGCTTTCGATAATAATGTAGTTTATAAAATATTCAGCATAGCCAATTATAATTTATTTTACTTTTTGAATCTCGCATTAAAAGATTGATTGATTGATTAATTGGGTCGTTGGCGATTCTTATAACACAACAGCTTGTTTCAGTACGGGCGAGCAAACTGCGGTTGCGGTTAGTGCAAACTTTCTAATGCTCATATCAAGTATCCGAACGAATAAGTGACTAGATGAGTGATTAGATGATTCATTAATGAGCATCAGGTTCCATTTCCTATAGATGGAGATCTTCGCCAAAACGTGAATTGATAAGTAGATGCAGCAGTGTCTTAAAGCAGTGCAAATAAGCTGCGAGCAAGAGAGAGAGAGGAAGAGAGAGAGAGAGAGGCAAACGGTTAATCCATGAAATCGCGGGGCAAGAGGCGGAAGGTGTAGCGATGCATTAGGCAAGGCTCGCAGGCAATCTCGTTAATCGAAGTCGCGGCTGCCAGTATTAGCGCCGTCGTTTTTGCCCACCTCCCTGCCCCCTGTCGACTAGCGACGCGAGAGCCCGTTAAGAGATTAAAGCCCAGCGGCTTTAGAGAGCTATTACGCCCAAAGGCACGCGAAACAAACGCAACGCCAGCCCCAGCGTCGCCGTCAACTTTGCACGCCGCCGCCGCCGCCGCCGCCGCGGGACAACAACGGCCAGGTTTCACCGCCTCCTGCCGAACCGCGCAGACAATGACCCTGATGTCGCTAAAAGCACGCGCCCTTTGCAGCGCAGACCCGCTAGAGTTCTCCTTCTCTTTCTTTTTTTCAAGGCTGCGCTCGAAGACTCCGTCCGCTCGCTTTGTCCGTGCCGCGGATCGGTTCCAACAATCACAGACCGTCGCACTCTGATTTTTCTTTTCGTCGGATGATTATCTGCTACGGGACTGCTCTGCTATCATGACTCTTGCTGACTTTTACTTCGGTGGAAATCGCCTTTTCTTACTACAAAAACTTATCGTAATAGTGATTAATAACTGAATAATACGGGATTTTCCCACGTTTTTCCATTAAGCATAGGATGTTTTTGCTTTTCAGTAGAATCTTTCTCGAACTGACCTATGTAATAAATTCAATTTACATATACTTTTCTTGTCTTGTGTCACGTTGTTCGCGATTGTTAAAAATTTTTTCTTATTTGCTTCAATATTTTTAGAGTCGACTACGATGGTTTCAATCATAAATTTAACAATATCCGCTAGGTGGAATATACCTATCAGATTTTTTTGACTTTTATATGAGGATTAAAAACTGAACCTCAAACACACGTTTCACCGCCAACATATTGTCATACCAATATCGTCACTGCGGTAGCTGTGTTGAGTGCAGTTTCCCAGTAAGCACAAATATTTTTATTGTCGTTGTGTTACCATCATCGAGAAATTTCCAGCCAATAACGAATAGAAATGTTATCGAAACGTCAAAACCAGTTTCATATTACGGCAGCTTAATCACCAGTAACGCAAAACACCCAGTCATTCATATTGTTTGTTTGACAATCGCGCAAGTTCGCATACCGAGACTACTGTATGCAATCAACAATATGAGTATACAATCGCATCGACTGCTTTGCAAAAGCATTGCCGTGACATTAATTTGAATTATAACGGTGATGTCTGAGCAACAGCGCACTACTTTGGTAGTGGTAGCACGACGAACGTGACAGGGCTTATCTAACGCTATATACATGCGCTATGGGCTTGTCTATATACTCGTCGCGCGTCGCTCGCGAAGTGCGTTCAATTAGCTCAATTATCTTGGTGACTCGCGTGCAGTTCGTTCAATGTCTGCGTGCTCTGTGTTTCTCGTCTTTTTCCGCTCGGTTCGTTCATTGTTCGCCGCTACTTCCCGCGCAAATAGACGCGCCGTCATCGCGCCGTCTCGTCGGTCGCGACCTGGTTTTCACTCTCTTAAACGCCGATTCATCCTTTATAGCGCATGAATGTGTGCACGAGTGCATTGTATCAGCTGTTACCGACGTATCGCACATGTATATATTGTAAATGTGCACATGTGCGTAAGCGCGTAGCTTCAGCGTTAACGTTGTTCGCTAATAAATAAATGTCCACAATCCACATGTGCGGATTTATATTTTCAACTTTCTAACTCTTATCTTGCAATTTACAAGTGTCGATGAGTGTAAATCTAGTTCAAAATTACTCTGTTTTCCTCATAAACAACAGCCTTACATTGAGTATTTTGACGCAAAATAATTGTATGTCGCCATATAATTGTTAGCTATTGTCTTTGCCACACGCTTTAAATTGTCCGACGATTATGACTTGAACAGTTGGCATGGCAGTATTGACCTTGACTCCGCTGACTCACATAGATCATTTGATGACCGCACTCTGGATCATTTTGCCAAACTTAGCTTCAAGTGCTTTAATTTCCTATCATTTCAAATGCTCTATGGGCATTTTCGTTATGAACTTTCGTTAAATTTACATCTCAAATGATTCATTTTAATGTTAAAAGCTTCTCGATTTTGTATTTGAGAATTATAATCGATAAGAAAAAACAGTAGGGATGTGTATCGAAATCGCAGAGATCGAACTGAAATGTATTGGTACATCTTGAATGAGCGATTAGAAGATTGGGAACGCAGTGGTTATCGATTTTTATAAGATTTCGAAAAGGTTTCTCTTCCTGTATCAAAACTTTCTGAGAAATTGATAAAATGTGAATCAACGAGTGTAGCGAAGTGAGACAGCGAGGCCCGCGGACGATACGCGATTCTGGGAGATGAAGACAAAAAACGTACGAGCATCGAGCGCGAGAGAAAGAGATGGTGGTTGAGTAGAGATTAATAACGCTATCGGTGCTGCTGGTGTGCGCGCGTAAAAATGCAAAAGAGCGAGCTGGCGGGCTGGCGAGACGGATTGCTGGGAATGGAGAGCGAAAGCGGCCAGATATATACGGCTTGCTGAGCTTGCGAAAAGGGTGGCTGGTGATGCGTGCAGAGAGAAAACGGTTGCCCCGGCAAATGCATTAAGACCGCCTTTTCAGCCTCTCTTTCTCTCTCATACACACACACACACACACACACTTGGCGATATTGAACTTTTCGAGGCCGCCGCGTCGCTTTAAAGCGAGCCCCAGCTTTATCGCTCTCCTCGGGAAATCTGCTTCTTCTTCTTCTTCGTTTTTCTGTTTTTTTGCTATGCTCCACTTTTTTCGCCGCTACACGCCACGTGCGTGCACTTTCTTCCGCTTGTTGTCAAATCCTGTCGATGCGAGCCTCTATATATCGCAACTATATAGCCATGAATGATTTGTGCCAAAGTGTATAATGATTTGAATGTTGGGGTATTTTGTTTGGATATGAAAGAAATTGCGATCGCAACATCAAACAACAGTTGACATTCGGTATAATCATACTTGACTGGGCAGCTTTCATTTAGATAACGTCGATATAAAAATAAACGCACAGTTGGGGAAGTGAACATAGTCGGAGACGTCACTTTGCACAGTTTTCCCATAACGAATTATCATGAAAATACAGATAAAGACAGCACGTAGCCGTAGGAAGCGATAACGCAGCTTCCATATTTTTCTCATTTCAACTTTCTGATAAAGCTACGAATATCGCAATAGACGTGTGATTTTCCACGTAACGTAGAAAGCAAAATATTTGTCTCGGATACGCTGGGAAAAGCCGTAATTCAAGTTCTGTTTCCTTACATACGGGGATAATACTTCGATTGAAACTAAATGGCCAGTTGTACTGACTTATATTGTACCTCGCTTTATATATATGTATAAGGAACGCCGCCAGACACGTCCAACTCGCAGTCACTTGTTAGTCGCGGTGCCAGTCGGAGCAATACAACAACTCCACTGGAATGTCAACAGCCACGCGGTTAAGAGCTTAAGTTTAATCGATAGTTAGATTATGTTGTATCGGCTCGCTCTCGATATATAGTTGATAAAGGAACGTGCGTCTAGTCCAATTGAACAATCGACTCTCAGTGCATCGTTTGCCTCACATGAATGTGTTTGTAATCAAGCTGCAAGCGGCCGACAAAATGACTCTTGACAAATTTTTCAAACTACCTTTTTACAATTCAAATAAAGCGCAAGGTAAGTACTTCAGTGCCGATATTGAAACTGGCTTGGCAAACACCGCCAGTTTCAATTGGTGTTTAACATCGTCATTCTGGCACCACTCATTTTCATTCTATTACGCTATCTCATCTTATTAACCTGTTTGGTAAAAATTTAGCCGTGTTCCATTTGCGTAAATGTAATACCATTTTTTAACAAACTAGCCGTCCTTTTCAATTTTACAACGTTAAATACGTCACTTTACATTTCAGAAGAACGGTATCTATTTATATTGACATGTCTTTTTTAGACTTTAATTATTGTAAAAACAAGTGTTATTTTTGATTGTAAGCTTATCAAAATAGTCGAAATTTAATTTTATAATATGGCATTTACTTCACTAAATTAATTGTCATTCCTTCAATCTTGAGCGAAATAATAAACATTCCGCAACTGACTCATGAAGTATCGAATGTATTTTGATGGGCTACGGTGTTATGAATATTTGTCAGGGCAATAAAAAATAATTGTTACAATGTGATGTAATCACAGTAATTGGCCAAAGTTACGTGAAAGAGTATGTTTATTGTTACAATTGCATTCACAATTAGTCGCAATAAAGCTAATTTTTTACTGTAACACTTTTGATGGAAATTTATTAAAAGAAATATTTTTTTACAGCGAGTGATCAACCACAACTACAAGCTACTGGTGATGGACCATTAGAAGTGAAAAGAAATTCAACGGACCAACGATATCTGTTATTGTTTTGTGCTTCTACAGCATGCTGGGTGATAATATCAATATATGGTAAGTTTCGTTTAAAAAAAGTAGTTATTTGATTATTTTGCCGTCAACTAATTTGTTTGATTGTATTAGCTTTCGTGGCTGGTGATAAAATCGCGGTGGACTATTCAAATATTTTGTACCATGTTGAGATGCATCGAGTTTCGGATTTTCTACTATTTTACCTCTCGGAAGTGAGGTAATCATATTGCTCAATTACATGTACCAACTAAATAAAGTCATTTGTACGACTTGTTAAGAAAATTTTCAACTGTTTACTTTCAGTGACGTTCTGGCGTGGGATTTGATATTATCAGTATTTTTACTGGGCGTTTTTGTTGCCCTATGCCGATGGGCGACCAAAGTTGTAATATATCTGTTTATATTTTTAGTATTTGCCGTATTGATACTATTTTATACCTTGTCTTTTATGGTCATTTACTACTACGACGCAAGTTATTTACCAGTATTAATCATTACAATAGTGACTACGATATATCTACTAGCTCTGTACGTACTCAAAAAAACCGGAATGAATATGATCTGCAAAGTAATTCAAGAATCTTGCAAGTGAGCCCAACAAAACTTATTGTTTTGTAGGTTAAAATATTTCGAAGCTTATGTAAATTATTTCTTCGTTTCAGAGCCATTTTCGCTTATCCATCGACAATGTGCATTGCAGTTCTTCAATTCGTGTTGACGTTAGCGGCCTTTTCTTACTTCACGGCGATATTTGGATTTTTATATTCCATCAGAAATGAAAGTTTTGAGGAATTTTTAAGAAATCATACTAACCCCAATGATACCGACGAGGATATCGGCATGTGGGTAGAGTTCAAGATTATGATTGGAGGCTCACTTCCAGACAACTATCGTTCAGTGCCAGGGTACATTTACTTACTACACGTAATCAACGTTCTTTGCTTCTTGTGGGTCTTTTCATTCATCTCAGGAGTGGGAAGAATGATTTTAACTTCGACTTTTGCTACTTGGTATAATAATAAAAGCGAGAGACGCTCGCCTGTAACGACTGTACCACGATCTATTACAACTATATTAAGGTAACATACTTGAAAAAAGTCATTTGCAATTCCGCAGACTTTGAACTTACATTTGAATGTGTGCAGTTATCACTTAGGGACCGTCGCGTACGCCACATCGATATTTTCATGGATTCCAATGAAAAAAGTCATCTGCGAAAATAGCCAAGATGTTCTTAGGAAGTTGCGCAAACAGCCTATTTACATATTGTCATGCTTCACTATTATCCTCAATTTTCCATTAGATGCGCTCGCAGTGTGCGCTATTCACGGTCAAGAGTTTTACGAGTCGGCAAGTGAATCTTTCAAGCTGCAAATCCAAAATATCGCATCGTATTTAGCAATGAACACTGTATGTAAAAATTTACTTAAATATATACTTTTGTTGCTGAAAACCCATACAAATTTTAAACATCAACTTTTTATACGTTAGATCAGCCAGATTATAATATTTTTTGGTTCTCTCCTTGTGCCATTTATATCCTCAATCTGCGGTGGACTCTACATTCATAAAAACATCAGTTGGTTGCAAGAAGAAGAAAGAGCTTACGAAATTGCCAATGCAATTGCTATGGTCACCATAGTCATACCGTTATTCCTATCATTGACATTTTTCTCGACTTTCCACGCGGCTTCCGAGTCAATTCGGTTGTGCTACTTTGAAGATTCCAAATTTAGCCAGGAAGGTGAAATGAAGCTGTATGAAATTCAGGTTGATGATTTCAAAGAAGACGATGACTAAATTCTATTGGTTATCGATATTTAGCAAATGATCGATGATCTAGTATTTGTTAAGAATTGAAAATTGTTCATAGTGTACACTAAAACTGTGAAAAATTTGTAATTTCGCTTTTAAACTGGGATTAAGTTTGTTAATGATTTGAATGTTGAGAGATTTTTCTATTGTACAATTAGAGATTTAAATGTATATTAAGTGTAAATAGTAATTAGTTTTTAAGAACTCTATAGTTGTAACGAAATATGTATTAATCATAGAATATTCATAGCTTCTGTAAGAAAATTGCCAGTAATAAATTCTAGCTAAAAGAGCCGAGCATCAAATTTTATTTGTCCTCGCTATTGGTCGTTACTAGAAATCATTGATTGTTGAAATGGCAAGTTGGCGTCGAGGGCACACGGCCACGCGAGTAGTAAACATTCAGTTGGGAAACTCGAATGAACTGCACAAGTTGTATTGCCAGGCGAAAAGCAAAAGTACCACAAGAGGGTAGAGGTGAAAGCTCTCGAGATCACACGCACGTCACCCTTCTGCTTGTCACCGGAGAGTGTATATGTACATACAAGCGGGCGGCGAAGGAGCGAGCAGCGGAAATGGAAACTGTGAGCCACTGGCTCAACGCGAACAAACGAAGAAATGTTTTTAAGCGGCTTATTATGCCGCGCGTAGCGCTCTTGTCTCGGTGCTTTTTTTCCTACTTTTTTCGTACGTGATCGATGCGCGGTATCGAGAGTGAAATAAAAACGTTTGGCGTAGGGGGAGGGTGGCTTTTCTTCCTCTTCTTCTTCGGGATCTTGCGAGACTTTCTTTTTTAATGGCTCGAGGGGTGGTGATGGGGTGTGAGAGATTGAAACGATTGTTCGAGTGGTTGACAGGTTTTTCGAATACCCATTGTGGAATTGGGTCATTTATTATATTCTCGTGTTTTATTTATCGACGATTCGTTCCGTGCACCGCAGCTTGCAAGAACGAATAATTTGCGAGCTAACGGTTATTATCGAAAGTTGCTATTTTGCTGCAACGCAGTATATATTTGTGAAGAAAAGGGTGACCGCGTGACGCGATGATGCTCATACGTCACGTGTTTCAGTATCTTTCCAACTGGGCGTTATGTTTTTAATCTACGACTCTATTTTTCGCTCTCTATCTCTCTGCCTGCGTTTGGCTCTTATCGCTCCGCTCCACTGCGTTTGTCTCGCGTGCATTTTTTTTTTTTTTTTTTTCTTTTTTTTTCATCCAGCGACGTATTTATTTTTCACGATCTATCTTTCTTTCCCCCGCAGTTTAATGCCTCGTGCACGCGGCATTTTTCAACGAGCCTTCGTAATTTTCGCAATGGGTGTGCAACGCGTGCGGACATTCGAATTTGCTTACAGCCAATAAAGCACTCGTGGGCTGAGGATCATCAATCCACGAGTCGTAGAAGAAAGAATAAAAAAAGTTCGCGAAAGCCAGCGAATGCAATCTAATCCCGCTCGCACCCTTTCTCCGTCTCCCCGGCGCATTAGAGCCCATTGAGCTGTTCGACGCGCGGTCCAGCCGACCAGTAGCACGCGCGCGCACAGACGCGTACGCGCTGTCTCCCTTGGGGGGAGTGTCGTCGTATCGATTGTACGCCGGTACATATACATGTAGGTTGGGGGTGATGCGCGGACGAGATTGGAGGTGGGAGAGGCGCGGCGGCGGTGGCGATATAGAACCGTGAACCGTGGCTGCCCGATAATGACGACGGCGCTTCATAGATCGACGGATCGATTTGTTTCCTTATTGCGAGCCTCATGCAAAATCTTTCATTGGCTTGGAGATAATGACTGTCGGACGGCTCTCTTTTTGCAGCGTTTCTGCCTCGTCCCGATATACCTGCAGCCTGCTTTTGGCGACGAATTATGACAAGTCTACGGGGAAATCAACGGTAATTGGAGTCTCCCTTCGGATTTTCTTATCTTACGGAGGACGTGCGGCTCTCATTAGAGGGATAAGTGGAGCTGATTATTTGTCCAAAGTAAGAGATTATAGTTGGCGTGCTCGAAAAATAGTGCTAAAAATCAACAGGTTGGTTTCTTGCAGGCGCAGCCTCAGCATTTATGAATAATAATCAGATTAGCGCTGAACACGTCGTAGGAACTAATAATCATAGCACTTTGACAAGGTACGTGCCATATGTATGTGACGTGACTGTTGAATGCATTGCCAGTGTTGTAGACGATTATATTACGTGCGATAGGCGCAGCTGGAGGCGAGGGCGGATGATGGGGAACCTATATATATATAGCGCGTTTTGCCGGTAATTGGCAGATACACGTACATATAGATACCCTCTGATTCGTAATGGGAATAAAAAGAGAGATCAACGCGCTCGCTCGTTATAATCGCTTTGTGCACGTTCAATTGACGATCAGCTGGGCCGTTCCGTGATCGGGCTATTATTTGCCATAAGCTTCATCGATCGACGTTACGTAACATAAATATATTATTTCTTCCTTAGAAAAAACATATTTGTGAGTTGGATCAAATTCAACTTAGAGAGATAAAACGTATGATGTAAGTATCTCGATCGACTGAAATTTAGCGCACAAACATCTCTGGAGTAAACAACGTTACGATGAAAATTTACTGCTTTAAGGAGCCGTAATTTGACCGTTCGCAAAGATCGTGGTTCGTACTGCGATATATTTTCTTTTACACAAATACTTATCCAAGAGATTTTTACGTGAGTACGGCGTAATGTCAAACGATAGAGCTTGTGCGTATATTGGAGAGTTGGATAAATGGATTGAGCTCTTACATCTGTGAGCGCGCGAGAAGATCGAGCGAAGCGGAAGAAGAGGAGTCGCGATAAAATTGAAGGAAAAGGCAGGTTTTAAAATCGCGCTAGTGGAGCAGTGAGCGGGCAAAGAAGCCCAATCGGATTAGATAGCTGGGCAAAAGGTTGTGTGGTCCTTTCAGTTTTGCGGCCGGTGAAAGCAATACTATTCCATTAGTTAAATTGTCTTCTCCCTCAAAATGCCCCTTGCATTTTTCCATTCCTTTGACTCTATCCTTTTGTCTTCCAGCCATTGTGTGCCCTGCCGATCTGCTTTCGCTTTTCGTCATCCTTGCCTCCGTCCTACGCACGTCGCGAAACAGCGACTGCACTCATTATAACGAGCGAAAGACCAAACCAAAAAAAAAAAAAACACACACATTGTGCAAGCTCTATATAACATTCTAGGATCAATCAAAACTACAGCGCTTCATCGGGTTCGAGTTCAACGGATAATAGCCGGAGTAATCGCTTGCGCGATGAAAAGTCGAGGCGGTTTTTCGTCGAATGGAAACCGCGTGGCAACTGTACGAGGCCCTCGAAAAGCCTCTCGAGCGCTTGCGCGCAGCGGAGATTACGCGACGAGAGGGAAAAACGATCTCTCAATTCCCGTAAATGTCATTTATCCCGGGGTGACGAGCGCCGATAAAAGTTTCGACTCGTCGCCCTCTCGTGCTCTCTCTCTCTCTCTCTCTCTTTCTCTCTCTCTCTCGTGGCAAGAGGCCGAGAAGAAACTACTAGCTGCTGCTGCTCGAACGCTCCATTAAAGCTGAATTCCGTCGACGAACTTCCGTAGCGAATTAAAATTGCCGCCTCTATCAATACACTCGATAGTTTTTAATTGTCTTTTGAAATTGGATCGACAAGTGTAAATTTATTCGAGTTCATTTGAACAAATGAATTTCAATGATTGTTGAACTTACGAAACTCGTGCATTTTTAAGGACAAGCGCAAATTTCCCGCAAAGATATTAAGCCTCGAGAGAGTCGCCGTCTATTTGGGTCGCCACCTAGTCGACAAAATAATGCACGTTTTGCATGGCTTTTTCTGGCACCACGTATTTAACTTGTGAAATAATGAAGGTAATTTGGAGGGTTGCTTCTTGCGCTATCGTTGGCCTAACAATATCTCTGGCGCAAGTTACACTCTCTTGCGGGCTAGTTGGCGCTCGTATAAATGTACGTGGCGCACTTTCGGAGCATCGCACTCGTGAAATACATTTCAAAGGCTTTGAAAACCTCGCGCGCGCGCGCGCCAGACAGCGAGGCATCTTGCAACATGAAGATTGTACTTTTGGCGCTTTGTGCTACGTATTTAACGGTGGTAAGTACTCCAACGACTTTCACGTGAATTTATGTGAATCCTATATGAACTTATCTACTTTGAAGAGGAGTGTCGTTACTCAGAGTGCCGGCGGTATTCGTGAGCTTTACGTATCTTCTCTATTCGTAAATAATATTTGATCTGCGTGTACTGACATCGAAATAATTCGTAATTAATGTATGGGCGATATCGCACCTTTCAGTAACCTTAATAAATATTTGTTCAAGGCACGTATTTACGCTCATGTGTCCCCTGTGTCCGACAGCTTTAAAGCGTGTTTAGCCGAAAGTGGAATGACACGGGGTAATTGCGCTTCTTTGATTTCGAAATTGAATTGAATTAGATTGAGTTTAAATCGAAAATGAGTTGGAAACTTGTTCGTTATAGATGATTTCATCAAAGCTTTACAGTCGACCGACACTACAAAAGCCCAGTGCATTGCCGCGTGCACCATGGAAAAGGAACTTTTTGTAAGTTGTAACAAGTTAAAGAAAAGCCTCGCTTCGAGAGTCTGACATTTCTCAATGATATACGCATTGTTGTAGATGAGCGACAAGACCATAAACATCGACGCCATAATAGAGAAAATGGAAGACGTGTCACAAGAAATAGGAAAGACGCAAATAACCCATTTAGTGAAGGCGTGTGCTGCGGAAGGTAACTCGTTCGCGAGAGAGCGTTTTACAAACCTGTATCTCATTCGAACTTAATTATTTCAGCGAACGAAACGAGCGAAGACAAGTGCGGCATAGCTCACTCCGTGGTCAGATGCATTCACGACGAATTACGACGAGAGGGCTGGATTTAAATTTTAACTGATATCTTATCTATACGAAATATCGATGTATAAGCATGTACGCCGATCAACGAAATAAACGTAACGCACGTATTATCCGTTCGGCACAAATGGCAATGCGAACAAATTTACGAGGGGAAAGTATCTCGGTTGATTTATCGTACACGGCCGATTGAAAAAGTCCATCGGCTGCAGTGCGCGCGCCCACGCCAATCTCTAAAACATCTCAACTCCTCTATTTCATATCCCGCTCCACTGAGGCACTAAGGCGGGGGAGACTATACGCCTAACTTTCACTGACAAACTGCTCGATCTGCAAAAGCTTCGGGGAAACGATTAACGATGGACCGCAATTCGTACATACCTATTCACTTCGCATCTGGCGA